AGTAATTTGGGACATATTAACATGCAAAGGAGGTGGTAGATCATTCCAGATTTTTGCTGCAGAAAACCTGAAACTTCCTCTAAAGAAAACAGTTTTATGTGCAGGAAGCTTAATTCTGTCTGTAAATTTACTTCTAGTATTTCGACTATGTATATCTTTCGTCCAAAAAATTTTTTCATATAGATACTTAGGTTTTTTATTATGTGCAATTTTATGAATGAAACTGGCCAAATGGAGTTCTCTTCGATATGACATATTCAAGATACCTCTATCATTAAGTATTGGAGTAATTCGACCGCGTTTTGGAACATTACAACAGTAACGTACACATGCGTTTTGAACTCGTTGTATGGCATGAGCAGTTTTTGCTAGTAACCTGGGGCCGTAAACCACGTCACAGTAATTAAAATGTGATAGAACTAATGATTCTACTAGAGTGAACCTGACCTTTTCGGAAAGATATTTCCTAATACCATACAATACCTTTAATCTGTAGAATGCGTTTCTAATCTTTGTATTAATGTTATCTATATATCGTAAGTTACTATCTAATAACAGGCCGAGATTTTTTGCTGTGGAAACTTTCTCGATTCCTTGATTATTTATTATGATGTTCATGTTACTACCTTTCAGCTTTTCACATTGATATTTCGAACCCAACACCATGAATTTAGATTTATTGGAGTTTAAAATAAGGTTATTCTGATTAGCCCAATTATAGACAATATCCAAATCTTGGTTAATTCGCTCCACAGCCTTTTAAACGTCACTAGCAGGGAAGGAGTAATATAGCTGTGTGTCATCGGCATAAAGATGCATTTTACAGTGTTTTATATTTCGACATAAATCAGCGGTGAACAGTGTGAATAGTAAAGGACTTAAGATAGAGCCCTGCGGCGTACCTCTATTTATATATTTTGTTTCTGACCGTATTTCTTTCTGTTCCCCTTCTATTACAACATACTGCTGACGATCTGTTAGAAAAGATGCAAACCATTTTCTTGTTTCAACTGATATGCCATAATACGCCATTTTTGCCAATAAAAGATCAAGGTTTATAGAATCAAATGCTCTTGAGAAATCGAGCAAAATCAATAATGTGTTCTCTCCTACATCAGACGCGGCTATTATATCATCTGTTACCTGAGCCAAAGCAGTTGCCGTACCGTAACCACGCCGAAAACCAGACTGAATACTAGGCAAGATTCTCTCTTTCTCCATATAATCGGTTAATTGTCCACAAACAACTTTTTCAATCAATTTTGACAAAATGGGAAGAATACTAATGGGCCGCAAATCCTTATATGACTCTATTTTATTACTTTTAGGTAATGGCATAACCTTAGCAAGCTTCCACAAATCAGGATATACTTTAGTTCGTATTGATGTATTAACAATATCGGTAATAGCATCTAACGTGTGTGGTAGGGTCATACGTAACATTTGAATTGTAATAGTGTCGTGTCCTGATGTTTGCGTTTCAATGCTTTTTAAATATTTTAAAATTTCATCACTACTACATTCACGCAGTTCGAAATTTCCATTCCCATATTTATTACTTGAGTAATAATTATACATATCATTATCTATATAGGAAGTACCTGGAATATCTAAAAAAAAGTTGTTGATATTATTAGGATCTCTAAGATTTTGAGGAATTTCTGGTAGAGAAGAACCTCCTACAGTTGAGGATCGCTTTAAGTATTTCCACATTTTTTGTGGATTTTTTAGGTTATTATTGACATAATACTCAAAAAAAGCTTTCTTTTCTCTGTCAATAGATTTATTTGTTAGATTACGTAGATCTTTGTAGTATTTCAAGTGAGATTCTGAGTTAGTGAGACGAGCTCTTTTTAAGGCAACATCGCGTAGAGACATCATTTTCCTTATTGTGCCCGTGAGCCAAGGGCTAGGCTTATCTTTAATATACATACGACGTAAAGGAGCATACCTATTAAATAAATCTGTAATTCTTTTGTTAAATACCTCTACCATGTTATTTATACTTAAATTTTCCATTTCTTTTAGCCAGTCTATAGAGCTAAGATCTGTTAAAAAATCCTTTTCATTTATGTGTTGTAAAGAGCGTCTAGTTAAGTATCTTTTTGAGATTTTAGGTTTCTTAAAATAAAATTCAGAAACAATCATAGCGTGATCACTGAGAATTGGATTATGATGGACTTTAATATTCTTACATAAATGAGCAGAATCGGTTATCACCAGGTCTAAGAGTGACGAAGATTGTTCAGTGACTCGAGTTGGTTCGGTGACTATTTGTTGTAGATTTTGTTGTGATAGTAGAGTAAGTAATTCATTCGCTGATTTCTTATTGGGTTGCAAAAGATCCATGTTAAAATCGGTGAGTAAGAAAATGTGATTACAATACGAAAATGCACTTACAGATTCGCTGAGGGCATCCATGGCTATTGGTATGGAGATAGCCTCGGTTCTGTAGATTGTACCAATAGCTATTTGCAGTCCTCCAGGTAATGATAGTTCCAACCACAGTTGTTCGATTGAAGCCGAAGGATGCGGGCGTATCCGAGCACGTAGTTCATTTCTTACAAAGAAGCCCACACCGCCACCTCTTTTACCTCCAGTTCGTGACGCATGTTTTAGTGTGTATCCCGGGATAACCGGAGCACAAGTCTCCTCGCCCTCTCTTAACCACGTTTCGTTTAGGGCTAAAATATCCGGAGTGTACCTATCTATAGAATACTTTAATTCGTCAACACCTGTATTAATTGATCTAATATTTAATAGTCCCAAAATTAAACTATTAACTTTGCCTTTAAGCTCTGTAAAAAACTAAAAATACTCTAGGTAATTCAATCCTAAAAAACCGCTTGATACTGTCACTGTGAAATACTAAATAAACATGATTCTTAGTGCTAGATAGAGAATTATAAATGGTGTCTGTATATAAACAAAATAAACTTGCTAACCTAATAGATGTGGAGTATAGAGTCAATGATAACAAGAAACAAAATAATAACAAGATTAAGGTGTACCGGTAGACCCGGTACCGCCAAAAATCTTTGCGACGTCCTCCATCTTTCTCAGATGGTAAAATTGTTTTCCTTCTCTTTCGCGAACATATATTTTTCCGTTTTTTGACCAAATAAATTTCCAATTTCGTTTCCTCCCTTCATCTTTCGCTTTACCGAATATCATCTTATTTCTTTTAGTTAACCTTTCATTAATATATATTGGTTTCACTTCACCTGGAAAAACATCAGCCGTTGAGATAGAGCGGCGCACACGCGCCTCTTTCAAAACACGCTCTTTGATTGAACGACGTGTAAAGCGTATCACGATGGGTCGCGGACGTATTTCATTTTTCTCGTTAACTAGGAGTCGACGCGGACCACCACGATACATATCCACAATTTCCTCGTTCATGAATGATATGCCTATTTTAGAAGAAACTAATGTTACTAAATTCAGTAGGTTTTCATCAGCTCGCTCTGGTATCCCCACTATTTCAATATCATTCGCCATCATCTCTTGGTCTCTTTAGTTCCTGTTGTAATTGCAATACAGTTGACTCCAATTCAGAGACGTTTCTGTTTTCGGCTTCAAGTAACACAAGGCGTCCCTCTATATTTTCTACGTTTTCACACACTAAAGCAATTTTTTTATTGCAAGATAGCATGTCTTCTCTCAACGTTAGTATGTCATTGCGCAACTGTGACATTTCATTTCTGACTGTCTGAAGATCTTTTCGAAATGCACGCATTTCAGATAATAACTCGGACTCGATGCTATTTACATCAGGTGATGTTAGTTCGGTCTGTCCCACTTCAGCAAAGGTACTTGTTTGTATTGAATCTAAATCGGGAGATGATTCTACATTAATATTCTTGACAGGAGTATTCGTATTATCCTGTCTGGGTTGCTTCACCGTGCAACAGGGGCATATCCAACCTTTTGGTATGTTTGCAGACACCTCCATAGTAACACATAGTTTATGAAATCTTATCTTACATTTCGTGCAACTTACAATAGCTCCGCCCGTCGCTGACAGAAATTTTCCGCAAGCACCACATTTATTCATTTTTAAAAATATCTTCAGCTATGTATTTGTGACACAAAGTAAAATACAGTAGTTTATATTAAACGCGACAGATGGCGCTGTTAACAAAAAGACCGTTTTTCAATAATTGATAATAGGAATATCCAAATTCCAATATCACACCATTCCACTTTCCCTAATGTAGTCAAGTATCAATACTTCGATATCACAGGTCTCAAATTCCTCAGATGTGCAATATAAATATATACAAAGGCGTAGCTGTCATTAGCAATTTGTTCACAACACAAGTAACTTCACAAATATGAAATCTTCCACCGAGATAACAATATATGGCAAATTTCACAGTCTGATCGTGGCTCTTCACAAACTTTTACCTTGTTTAATGCTTTACTTGAATTAACTATAATAAATTTTGTAGACAACCGAAAAGTTCGTGATCACTAATCAAAATACCCGCAAAAAAAAAAACAACAATAATGATATGGTAACCCTGCCTGTGCTATCGGTATACACTGGCGGAGCACTCATGAGAGATAATAGGTGAGGATGGAAGCAGGTCAGTTGACCTATTGTGATGAATTTAACAAGATTTAATCACAATAATTCCCAGGGGGAATCACGTGGAGGTCAACTTGATAGGGTATATTGCTAGCAATGGGACTATTACACCCCATTACTAACAATCCTTTCTCCCTCCCTTCTCTGATATTCTAAGATATACATTTTTAACCAACTTCAAAAAGGTGGATTTTTCTTCATTCCCTTTGATACCCAATCAAATTCCTATATTAGGTGACTACTTAATACAGGAAAAAACAACATGACTAAATTAATAATGGGGCTAGTCACGATGAAAGTCGCTGTTTTTTTTTTTGCAAGGATTTTTTTTTTAATTTGTCTATTTGATTGATTAAAATGTTGAGCCTGTGTCGTATTTTGAAAATATTAATAGAGCATACGTTACCATAGCATATCGTTGTCGTACGTTGAGTAGACACAGTGGCATGACCGTGGCAGCAGCTGGCGGCGCCACTAAATGTCATACGGGGCACACTCGGCTACACCACTAGTGAGCAACTCGCACCACATAAAACAATTCACTCGACACTACAATTTGTTTACGGTAATAACTCATTGTTTTTATCTTTTACATGTGTAAATTTAAAACTGTGATATTAATTATGGTTTTGTTGGGAAACTATTCACAGTTCTCTCAGTGGGCACATTATAGTTTTCCCAAACTTACTAATAGATTCTCAACTTTTGTTTCATTCGGGATGAATCAGCAGGTGCGGTAAAGCCGCTTCAGAGTTCAGTGCGTGGCGGGTGTCCAGTTGAGGTGTAGAGGGCGCGCACGACGCCGATGCCGCGACTTGCGACGAGGAGTTAGATTACAAAGGGTCCCACCCACTCACTGATCACTTTCACCGTTACCCAGTTCAATAGGGCGTATCAAGTAGCGATATTAATTGTCGAGCCGGACTCGAGGCAGACGTGTCGACGCGCGGCTGTGTGTCGCCTGTATGCCAATGAGTAAACACTATGATTGATAAGTAAAGATAATGTTATCATTGTATAGGCAAATTCTTGCACAATTTCGTACTAACATATCAGTGAATTGTAAAGTGAGGAAAATGCACATTCACCGCCCTTTACAATCGTTTATGACTATCGTTGAATTCGTCATGATGGGCTAACTGACCTGCCTTTTCATCCATACCTATCACCTCTCACTGATTTCCCGCTAGTGTATACCGCAAGCGGGGTTACCATGTCATTTTTACCCATTAAAAAAAAACATTTATGACCTACTCTACCTTGAAATGTTTTCCGAAATTTCGGGTCCAAATAAAACACAAATTTGATGTTAAAATTACATGATACATAGCGTTTAAAATATTAATAATGCTAAAATATCGTTCCACTGGATTTATATAGGAGGAATGAATACAAACGACATGTTAAGCTCCGTTTTCTGGGTCGATTTTGTTATGAACAAAATTTCGAAATTGAATCGGAAAATCCAAAAGTTGTTGTGTTTGCATGACTGTGTTTCGATTTGAAGGATGAAATATGTCAGTGAATTTACAGGGTACAGAGGAGTAACACCTTAGTTCTCAGGAATGGCAACGCATGGGGGGTATCATGGACAAAACAGTATACTCTGTTATGTCCATAGTACTGCTCATATCTATAGGCGACGGTTACCACTTGTCATCAGGTGAGCTGTCAGCTTATTTGCCGTTCTAAGTCGTATAAAAAAATAGCAAAAATATACACAGGCGGACTAATCCCTTAAAGGGATCTCTTTCAGTCAACTTTGAGAATCAGAAAGGAGAAAGTTTTTATAGTTTGTATATAAAATATTCGCGTATTAAAGTACCTTATTATATAATTTAATTCATTAATCGTTATTATGATATTTATATAAACAAGTTAATTAAAATAGCCCTCCAATACATAATACTGCTGTTAACTATAATAAATACCTAAATACTTAGAAATTAAAATAAAATATTATACAAGTAAACATGTATCCGCTTAATTAAAGAAATTTATGCTTGTCTAACTACTTTTTATGTATTTTACACGTAGTCTAGTTAAAAATCCTGATAGCAATAAATATTGCGGTGCATAAATTAACCGGTATGAAGTGGACACAATAGATCGTCCTTCCCGCCGCTTAGATAAATTTATCACCCGTGTTTATCATCACGACTCTGAGTTCGCTAGATAGGCATCGCGTATAAATATTGCAAGTAAATATAGGGATGAGAAAAAAGAAAAAGAAAAAAGTGAGCGTGCGTGCAATCATCCGGCCGCGACCCGTGGATGCAAGTTGCTAGCGGACGCGGCTAGCGCACCGCTGCCGCTTGCGCTGTGGACCTCATGATCCCTACATACATAATATATAACCTAATGCAAATCCAGTCTATTAGTTTTAATATATACATTTGCCGTATATAGTTCTAGAGAGAAAAGTTACTAAATGGGCCCATCCGGAAATCGAACTCGGGACCTTATTTACCCAAACAACGAGACGAAAGAGACCTTATTTACATAAAAGATAAGACACAATACATCTATTAAATATATGAGTAAATAATGCTTATCTAATCCCAAATTATGCTAATTTTTATTGTTTATTTTTTATTTCAACAAAAAAGAAGGTGACGCCAAGGTTTTTCCATCTATCAGCAAATTTGTATCGCCAAAGAAGATACTGCCCTAAGGTAGAACAGATTAGAATTACAAAAAAATACAGATTTTTAGAATAATTAGTGTTTTGTAAGAATAGATTCCAAATAAATCACGACTGGATTGTAATCAAACACCAGCTCCCATATTTAATATTGGCTTGTTCACTGTATCTCTAATATAGGTTAAAACTGGTACATTATAGTACATACCTGTTACTATATAGGTTATAATGACAGTAACCCACACACATATTACTTTGCTGTGCTATGAGGCTATAAAACGTTCAAGCCAAGTCACCCTTTTAACTCGCAACCCGAACAAAGTTGTTTATGTTGAAGCCATTACGTGTGACAAAATACTGTAACAGTTGCCCGGCATGAGCGATGGTCGCTAACGGTACCGTCCGGGCGTCCGGTCGTGTAAAAGTACACATTTTAATGAGCACACAGCCGCGGTGGTGACCATCGTCGGCCGGGATCGAACTGCGCCACCGCTGCCCCGGGACGCGCCGTAAAAACTATCAAACTGCCGCCAATTACAGTAGCAACTAGTTTTTTTAGCCGCGAGAACTTTCTTCCATCACCATATTATCATATTCATTACAAAGAAAGGGTGAAATTATAGCGCTCCATGAATATGTTAACGGCTGCGTGGTAAATGTTAAAGTTGAATAACACTGCGTGGCGGCCGAGTGTGAGCGGACGGCGGACGGCGGACGGCGGACGGCGGACGGCGGCGGACAGTAGGCCGCGTACGCTACTCGTGCACCTATTGACTCAGTTATAGCGGTAAATGTAATTCTGTATTATAATAGAAATGTCTATTTGACAAATGATTAAATGGATTGATACGAAATTATGTAATTAATTATTAGTATTTATTTATTTATTTCTTATTGCATTCCATAATATAATTAGTAGATAACATTTCAATTATGGACCCTGTTGGGCACAGCAAGTACGAGAGAGGAGGACAACACTTTTTTCACTTTCGAAATAGTCTAAGGATCTGTTACAACACTATCCAGTCATTGATATTGTATCACGATAGCTACGTATTGTCTTACTATTATTATTATTCATTATTTAAGTATTTGTATGTATCTATTCATATCGTAATTGTTATTAGTATTATATAGGTATTTAATATATTACAACTTAACAAGTGTATATTTCATCGAAGTCGGTTGAGTGAATCGTGTGACACAGTTTGAAATCTTTCCATTGGACAAATTGATATAAAATATAGTGACCTTTTTTAAATGGACTGATTAATCAGTTTTGTTGTTTATTTTGTTTAACATCTGTTACAAGTCCCTCGCATAAAGTTAGTTAATCATTACTTAATACTATAAAAAGAAAAAAAATACTACTTGTTTTTTTTTTGTGAATAAACTTAAAAATTACTTAACCGATTTTTTTTAAATTCTTTCACATATAAAAAGGTTATTATCAGCGAATGACATTGATTATACTCGTATATTATTTTCAAAAAAATTAGAGATCCATACGGAAATTGCAATAACAAAATCAAAGTATTAAAAATTGCCTATTAAAGTTATTTATTTATCTTACAATCTACCTGTCCAAAGCCGGGGCAGGTCGCTAGTCTAGAATACAGCCGGCATTATTATGCATCGTTTTCACATTTCCTTTGTCCCATTATTTTATATTGATAGCCGCGACTTTGTCCGCGTGGTATTTGTCATTCGTGTTTAGTATGTATCGATGTACGTACCTACCTATTTATTATGTTTGGGAATACTGGACTAAAAGTAACAAATGACATGTCGTTCACACTCTTTGCCTTACGTCAAAATGACTTAAACAGGTTGTGTATTAAGCTGTATAAATTACTATAGATTTTTTTAATTATCCCACGGGAATTCTTTAATTTTTCGTGATTAAAAGTATCTAAAATGTTGACCAGGGATATAAGGTGCCACCATGCAAAATTTCATTTAAATTGATCCAACAATTTTGGAAATTAGCTCGTACAAACAGATAAACAAAACAATAAACTTGAAAAATCTGTATGTTCTATTTCACTTCTAACATCCTTCTGACTTTCGAACTCAAGAAAATAAAAGAAATTATATAAAAGAGAATATATAAAAGAATTCGAAGATACCAGCTTGCACCCTTCGATTCGGTGCAACGACGAGCTAAGAGAATTGTCGATGATCCCAGGCTTTCAAGCGGTATCGAACCCTTAAGTCGAGGTTTTCTCAAGAAACTACAGCATGGGGTTCTTCAAAACAGGGGGTAAAGAGGTTTCTTTAGTGTCGGCAACGTGCGCGCGCTACGGTAACAGCTTACCATCAGTTGGGCCGTATGCTTGTTTGCCACCTCAGTGCTATATAAAAAAAAATCTATAGTATTTCAAGCGTCCATAGCCTATAGTGATCGTTTACCATCAGACAGGCTGTATGATTGTCCACTACCTTCCTAGTATAAACAAAGTGTTAGTTTTTTTATACAACTTAGAATGGCAAACAAGCTGACGGGCCGCCCGATGGAAAGTGGTAACCGTCGCCTATAGACATGAGCAGTAGTACCATGGACATAACAGAGTATACTGTTTCGCCCAGATACCGCCCATGCGTTGCCATTCCTGAGGACTCAGATGTTATTCCTCTGTATCCTGTAAATTCACGTTATATCCCACCCTTCAAACCTAAACACAGCTATGCAAACACCACTGCTTCACGGTAGAAACATGAATGGGACAGAGGTGCCCAAGCAAATGACTTTTGTACAAAGTCTCCCTAGTATTATAAATTGGATATTAAACACAAAAGAAAGAGACAAAACAGTTCAATGGCTAAAATAGGTTTATGAGAGATTTTTACGTTTTTATGAATAAGGGGTGAAACTACACGCCACAAATATGGACTTCAATATGGATAAAATGAATATTGGAACGAACACGGGAGTAAATCCCCATAATAAAAAGAAAAATCCTCATGGGTCGTTGCACATAAATGAAATAAGGTTTTGTAAATTATAGTAAAACGTGAGTTTTTGCATATTTTGCCTATTGAAGTAACATCTTTTGTTTTCGCGTTTGAACGATAACGTAAAGGGGGGAGTTTGGAAGTTGAGCATGGAAGGCGAGCTCCGTCGGGAGGGGTGGGGGGGGAGGAGGTCAAGTAATGATACATTCGCACGCCGAAGTGAGGTGCGAGGTAATAATGAGTTATGTACGTGATCCAATTATTTGGGCGCGCGCTCATTACTCGCTAAGTGTGAAATATGGCCGGCTTTATTACTAGCATCGCTGACTTCTCGAGCCACCCTGGGCGGCGCCCGTGGGGGG